TTCTTTGCACATTTTAATAAGAGCTTAGTACTTACCACTTATTTGGTTTTCTTATAGAATGAGAAGACTTTGGGACATTCCATGAGTCAGTCAAGCAACATTTCCAAGGTAAAGTGCCAGTGAAATACATTATTTTTGTGCCTTGAGACTTTTGTATTCTTATGCTTTGCATGTAAATAGTACTCTCAGCCTTTTATTTTTATTTGTATTTGGTTTTTAAATTTGTGCGGGGGTGTGTGTGCACATGTCCCCAGGTGCATGCTGGTGCATGTGCAGTTTGGAAGCTGGAGGTCAAGTATCTTCCTCTGTTACTCTACCTTATTTTGAGACACTGTCTCAGTGAGCCAAGAGCTCACTCACCAATGTAGCAAGACTAGCAGCTGCCAACTCACTTCCTCATACCTGTGAGGCAAGAATTTCCCTAAGCCATTTCCCCAACTCCCTCTTCTGTTTGGAAGACAGAAACTTCTTGAAACATTTTTGTAATCTACTCTGGGACCATATAAAGCTTGTAGCAATGATGTTTTTCAGTGAAGTGATTTTGAGTGTGTTAGGGGAAGTGACTTGTAGTGGAAATTATTTCTTCCCCACCCTCCAAATCATATACATTTTTCAGACAAAAGAAATCCCAGTCACTTGGAGTCTGTTACTCTAGTTAGAAATGCATTTTGTTGAAAGCAATACAAAGCCACCCATGGTAATATAAACATGGATTTATGTGGCTCCGGTGACGAGGTACCTGGAAGCAGGAGGTCAAGAGCTGAGCTGCTCAGAGATGCTGCCAGGCTTTCTTCCTTTCTGTTCTGTCCTTCTTACTATGTTGTCATTGCCCTCTGAGAAGCCCTACTGGAGCTGGTTGCCAGGCACTTCAGCTGAAGGCTTGGCAGGAAAAGATAAGTGAACTGATAAGGGTGGTGGGGTCTCCCAGCTGAGAGGAACCCTTTTATGGTGGGGAGACTGAAGTTTCCCTGTCTATAAACCCCACCTGGTACTTGACTTCTGCTTTATCCCCCTGGCCAGGGCTGGCACACACACTACCTCTAGCTAGAAGGCAGGTAAGAAAAGACCTGCATCCAACAGCATCTGTTTCCACCCCCATAGCTTCCCCCTTCCCAGTGTGTTTCCTTAGGGAGCTTTCCAGAAGCCCTCTCTGCTAGGGTGTGGCCCAGGAGGCAGCAGTGTCTCCCACAGTGACCTTTCTCCAGCTCCTGCCCTTCTCAGCCCAGGGTCACTCTGTCCCACCCCTAGGCCTTGCAGGTATGCTCACAAAGATTGCTTTGCAAATGTGAGACGTCTCCCATTTCCTTGTTATACAGCAGACAAAGCACAGTTCCCAACAGGAAGGTTTGAGCAATATGACAAAAACCTGTCCTGCCGCCTCGGAAATAAAGTGTATTCCTGTATTTTGTTTTGTTTGCTGATTTGAAACAGGGTCTCATTGTGCAGTCCATGCTGGCCCTTGAGTCAGTGACTCCCCTCCCTGCCTCCACTGCCCAAGTGTTGGGATTATGGGTATGCACCACTATACCTATTAGTGTATTTCACTTTAATTTATAAATGATAGATGTTTTCATTAAGATCCCCTTGTTTGGGGAGTTCCCATTTTGGTAGATTCATCTTTCAGTCAGGGATTAGTAAACCCTACAAGAGATTTTTTTTTCCAGAGAAAGTAACAGCGTTCTCTCAGTTCATCATTTGAGGGTGTCTGCGTGTGTGTGTGTGTGTGTGTGTGTGTGTGTGTGTGTGTGTGTGTGTACACTTTAACAAGCTTCTGAGCTAAAACTGGACCTAAGAGGAACAAGTGTCAAACGAGGCTGACACTGTAAATATTGGGTTTATTTGTATCAAGTATGTATCAAGGAAGGGAAAAAAAAGTCAATTTCGAAGCATTAGTATTTCCAAGTAGGGGCTTCCAGGTAAAGTGGCAGATTAGAAGTCCCATTTATATGAAATTGGTGAAGAAGAATGGTCAGGGTAATACTCATAGTCTCTAATTCTTGCAAGAGACAATAGCTCAAATGATTTTATTAAGCCAGGGGAGATCTCTGCAGCAGGGAAGCGCAGGGGCAGATGGGAACTGGTGCTTGCGGTTAGACTGCATGGCTCTTAGCCAGACATCAGTGGGAACTACCAGGAAGTGCTCATAGTGGCTCTGGAGGAACAAGTAGCTGGACTCACCAAAGAATGGACACCACAGGCTGTGAGACCAGGACCAGTCAGTGCAGGTTCCTCAGCCTAGGGCCGAAGAGTGAAGCAGACATTCAGCCCCATTGTGCAGACTTCAGCAGACATCAGTAGGAACTTAGAGTGGCTTAATCCCCTCTCCCACACACCAGTATTGATACAGCAGCGTGGCGGGGGTGTGTGTAAAAGATGTGTGGAGACAGAGAGAAGGGAGGGGGCAGGTATCTGTGCCTGGCCATGGAGCCCATGACTTAAATGTGACACTGTGAACCTGAGGCAGAGAGATTTTGTGTGGCCATGGTAACCAGAAACTGCCAGCAAAGGCTTCTACCTAGCCCACCACCACCACCACACACACCAGTGCTGGAGAGAGGCAAGCTGCGTAGATAGGCTGCATAGTTTAGGCACAAGCTGGGAATGCAGTGAGCAAAGATTAACAGGGCCTGTGGACCTCGATGCTGAAGTATGACCTCCAGGACCCCTCACTGCCTCAGCTAATGACAGTGTGGGACCCACGAACCACATAGCTGAACTAATGCTGGTTCAAAAACCATCACAGGGAGGGAAAGAATTCAAAACTCATCCTACCATGGAAGAAATACTGATTTGATAATACGTTTTAATCTATTGCACATTTATTTCATTTTGTCCTCTTTTTTTTTTTTTTTTTTTTTTTTTTTTTTTTTTTTTTTCCCTTTTTTTTTTTGTTTTTTTTACTTATCTATGTTTACTCAGCATAGATGTCTCCTCCTGGTCTTATTTAGTTTTGTATAACTCAGGTTTTAGACTGCTCTGTACCTTTCTATGGTGTGCTCTCTGCTAGTCTTCCTGTATACAGCCATGTGCATTTCTCATTCCCACCTCATTCTCTGTTCCCCATTCCCTGCTCCTTTTACGTCTGTGTATGCATGCGATGTGTGTATATGTGTCTGTATGATGTGCATGCACATGTTTGTGTGTGCCTGTAGGTACATATGTGCCATGGCACATGTATGGAGGTCAGAGGACAGCCTCACATTCAGTCCTCACCTTCTACCTCTTTAAAGACAGTCTCTTGTTTTTCTGTGGTATATGTCAGGCTAGCCGGGTGACCACTGTCCAGGGTGTCTTCTGTCTGCATTACCCATCTCACTGCAGAAACATTGGTATTAGAGATTCGTACCACTGCATCTGTTTATATGGGTTTGGAGGATTAAAACCTGGGTCCTCACACTTGTGCAGCCAGCGCTTTACCCCCTGAGCCATCTCCGTCGTTGCTTAACTTTAACCTTTGTAGTTTTAGTCTTTAAATTCTGTGGACCCTAACTACATCTCCTCTTCCCCATCAGCTACTTTTCCCTCCTCGGTTGTTTTCTCAGTTGACCTAATACTAATCCCTATCACTACCCAGCCTATTTCTCCTCCACTCATAGCCTTACGGATTAACATCTTATAGCACACCTTCTTATCCTTGTCCTTTGTTTTCTCCAATAGTGAGAGAAGTTAAAAGGAATGACCTCACTAGTATAATATTTTTTACCTCACTAGTGTAATATTTGCATAGAGGACCTGTGTGATTCTACTCTATGGAGTAAGATGGGCACTGCACCTAGGCCCTGAGGCTGTAGCGGATGAGCTACACCAGTCCTCCTTGAGCACTGCAAAACTTCAAAGGACACAGCTGACAAAAAGTAACTAACAAAATAACACCAGATGCACAAGTCTCAATGCAGAAATACAAAAAAACATGAAAAGCAAAACTGTGCGACTCATCCAAAACATAGAAACTCCATAGTAATGGACTCCAGTGAGAGTAAATCCCAGTTTTCAGAGGAATGGTTGTAAGCGTGTTTAATGAAATAAAAGAGGACACAAATTCCTGAATGAACTGAGAGAATACAAATAGCTGAAGAAATAATGATAGGATGAGAAAGAGGAATTGGATAAAAAGAAATACTGAAAAAATCAAATTGAAAATTGAGAAGTGAAAAATTCATTAAGACAAATGAAAAACCCAGTAAGACTGCTAACCAGGGAGATGAATCTAGTGGAAAACGGTATCAAGAATGTAAGGTAAGACATAAATTAGAACATTTACACTGATAAAGATGAAATAAAGTGTAAGTGCAACATGTATTGAACACTGTCAAAATACTAAAATTATGAATCATGGGGAGAGAAAAATGAGAAAACTGTAGGCTACAGGCATAAATAATATATTAAAAAGTCATAGAGAAAATTCTCCAAATCTAGGGAAAAAGAATCATTCAGATTCAGGAGGCATTTGGAGCTTCAGGTAGACAACACAAGAAAAGACCATCCCCACCCACATTTGTAGTTAAAATACTACACATAGGGAGCACATTAAAATGCAGAAAGTTGCAAGAGATGGGTAAATGCATCAGAATTCATAGATTGCTACAAAAGGAATTGCAGTTTCAGACCATACATTTAAACCACTGTAACTAGGCTCAAACACATCTTTATTGATCAAAATAGGAAGCGTTACAATTAACACATTTTCCCCCAAAGAAATGAATTTGTATAATATTACAAAAATGCATATAGTTCTAAGAATGATCTGTACACTCAATGCAGTCCCCATCAAAATTCCAATAGCATTCTTCACAGAAATGGAAAAAAATATTCTAAAACTCATAGAAACATGGAAGACCCTGGATAGGGAAAGCAATCCTGAGCAAAAAGAGCAGTACTGGAGACATCTCTGAGCCTGATTTTGCCTTATACTATGTACTTATACTACATGGTACTGGCACCGAACAGACAGGTAAATCAGCGGAATAGAGTAAAGCACCCAGATGGAAACCCATATGGCTACAGCCACCTGCTTTTCAACAGTGGTGTTAAAATGTACAGTAGAGAAAAAGACAGCTTCTTCAACAGATGGGTTTGGAAAATCTAGATATCCACATGAAGAAGAATGA